TACGGAAAATGTTTTATGAAGAAAACGGCGACTATAATAGATCAGCAAGGAAATGGACCTACCAAAGCTTAGATAATTCTGAATTACCGCCTACATTTGAACCCCAAAATTTCTTGAATTGCATGAATACAAATTGTATTTGTATAAACATTAAAAATTTAAAAAAATTATATCAAATATTAAGATGGAAAGAACCAAGATATTAGGGGTATTCACGATCTTTGTGTTAACCCTTGTGTAGAGTTGTAAGAATCGGCTAGTTAACATTGTTCGACCTAACAATCCAGGGCCAATGTGAGATGTTACGTCGAAAATGTAGTCCATTGCTATCCGTTAGGGAGTAGGTAACCAATATGGCAGCCATGAATTTAACAGCTGTGTTTTGTTTACACGTATTTCTATTCTTTAATACGCATTAATTAAATCAGACCAATACATTTATTTTGTTAATTTCTGAACTGTCCTTATACTCTCATTCATTATAGATACATCCCATATCCTATAATATTGTAGGCTGTTAGACGTTAGGATACAGGTTAGGTATGTCGGCACGAATTGAAGCAATTCATTTGTTAGTACTTTTCGGATGCATAGATAGCATTTTGAATGAAAGAGTTGATTAATTTTCCTATTTTATTAACTTCTGGAGCACAAAAGAAAACCAAAACAAACAACAAGCCTTCAAGGACTTTTATAGCTTTATTTTTGGTTCTACCAATCGCCACACGCACCATTGCGGAAAAATTAAGGTTTAATAAGCTAAGAAAAGAAGGGGGGCGTTCCCGATCTTAGTGGACATTTCTTTATTCAAGTTAACACGAGTTAACATCTTACAAATATCGTGAATACCCCAGTTATCTTAAAATATGTCAAATTAGGCGAAAACTTATCTATTCTAATTTCGTTCTAACTCTGATTCTCGATAGTATTCGATATACTCCATTTTTAAATAGCCTTTAAGTAACCTGCAGCATTTCACAACTTTCTCCTAAAAGGACCCTGTAAATGTTTAGTTTCAAAAGAAGCGAGAATCTGTCTCAGCCACTTACCCATCTATCATTAGGTTTTCGTTGCTTGCCATACATCGGTACACTATCAGAAATAGTAGGTGAAATTCTTAAACGAATAGCTTTTAGAGGAATTTGCTCACTTAGAAACATCCTCTCAAAACCAAAAGACAAGGTTGACTAATGACCTATAAAGTTATAGTCTGCTAGACCTTAGGGTACATGTTAGGTATGTCGGCACGAATTGAAGCGTGTCATTTATTATTCATTTTCGAGTGCATAGATAGCATTTTGAATGAACGAGTTGATTCATTTTCCTTTTTTATTAACTTCTGGCGTCTTACATTTTAACACATAAGAAAACCAAAACAAACAACAGCTAGGCTTCAAGGATTGTTGTAAGTTAATTTTTAGTTCTAACAATCGCCACGCGCAGCATTTCGGAAAAATTAACGTTTTACAAGATGAGAAAAGAAGGGGTCGTTTCCGATCTTACTGGACATTTCTTTATTCAAGTTAACGCGAGTTAATATCTTACAAACATCGTGAATACCCCTAATATGTTATTTTGCAAGGTCCTAATCTCATTAATATAAATACATCATGTAAACTAATATAAACCTTATATTGGGTCTTAATGTTCTGAAACCCACTGTATCTCAAAATATCCTGATGCGTAAAATTAATATCTACGCTGTATAAGTGCATTAATCAGATAATTATTGATCAAAAATATATCTGAATTCATGCACATGGAAATGTATTATAAAAGTTAAAAGAAGATAAAAGCGCTTTCGTCAAAATCCCTCAGTGTATTAATTAATCTAAAATCTTAATTTGTTAAAATGAAAACGTCCATTCCAAACTACAAAGTAAGTTTAGGAGGCTAAATGGATTCTACAAACGAGCCTTCTCACGTGAAATACTAGTTATTCGATTGTAATAAAGTTAAAGTATTATTATAACAAAAATAGGGGCGTCGGTGGCGCAACGGTTTAGGCGTTGACACGGCCCTCATCACTGTAAGGTAAAGGTCCTGGGTTCTAATCCAGCGGCCCTGCATTCGAACCCGATACTTACAAATGGGCTTTTTTCAAAAACACCGCCACCCCGAGGGTTGATATGACCTGTGCTGTTGCGTATTTACTTCCCCTGGCAGTTTTATTTTATTTTTATTGTAAATTGCATTTAAATACATTGATTTTTTTTTTTTTTTTTTTTTTTTTTTTTTTTTTTTTTTTTTTTTTTTTTTAACCGGCACCCCGAGGGTTGATATAACCATATAACCTCTGCTATTGCAAGCCCTCGTTAAGAGAAAAAATAAATAAAACAAAATAAATAAATAAAATAAACAAGATTTAAAAAAATAATAATAGGGAAACATTACATTTCAATTTTTTCAATGTTTACACTACCTTTCGTTTTTATTTTGTTAAATGTCACCAAACTGTGTTCCCAATTTTTCCTATTTCAGTTGAACTATTTTCACTCTGAATAAAACATTTTTCCTTACAATTTAAACAATAAAATTACCTGGTTAAATCAGCCAAAATTAAAAACTTGTGAATATTAAAACTATTAGGTTTTTTACGACGTGGACGGGAAAGATTTTACGATGTGCCATTGGGAGTTCGGAGTTTCGATTAAAGCAAATTACCCCAAACTTTCGGGTTACTTCCTGAGCTGAAGTCAAACAAAAATCGACTTAAAATGATAGAACGAGGCCCTTCCAATCCGTCTTCATCGGCGAGCTCAGAAAATTTCTCATTTCTGATTTAGAGTTATTACCGTATTAATAATTTAAGCTATTAACAATCGACTGTTCTACTTTTAAAAATAAGTTTGAACTACGTGCAATTTACTGAACATCACAGATTCTTAGTAAATCCTGTATAAACTTTTTAATTCTTTTCAGCTTGTAATTTTGATTCTCATTGTTTGTATACCCTTTTCTATAATAGTTGCATTGACAGGAATTTGTATTTCGAAAAGTGCGAACAATGTTATCATGCCAGGTTAGAAATATCAAAATATTTTGATTTAACTTTGTTTTTTATATGACACACAAAATTATTTCTCCGGGAAAAGATTTTTATGGCATAATGGCAATCCATCCTTGTCAAACTATATCGTCTAAGTTGTTATGTACTATAAAAATAATTCAGATATATTGTTATGTAAGTTGATTTATCAAGAAGAATATACCTCAAAAAATCAAAATAGTTCAGACATATTATTACATTGTCTAAGTTGACTTATCAAGAAGAATGTACTTCAAAAAATGAAAATAGTGCAGAGATATTTTTATATTGTCTAAGTTGACTTCTCATTAAGAATATACTTTAAAAATTGAAAATAGTTCCGACATATTATTATGAATTTACAAAATAATTTCCTTTCTCACATTATTATATGATAATTATAATGAAATGATTGTTGTCCCCTATGAATCAATCGGAGTCTAAAAATATAGGATTTCGAGACAATTTTCAGATATACTAAACTAAATAAATAATGTTGTAATGTGTTTTGTCGAAGCATAAGCGTTGAACATTATTTATAATATTTGCATTATAACAACATAATGAATGTATTTAAACAGTACATTAGCTTCCTGTTGGTTTCTTTTGATCGGGAAAAAGTGCTAAACCTAATTGAGTTGATTTCTATATGTTCTTTGTATCATATAAACCGTAAAGGTTTACTACAATTACTTAAGGTTTTTAGTTGAGATAAAAAAGTCAATTGCACGAGCGAGATTCGAACCCACGATCTTCGGCTAGATACGCCGCTGCTCTACCACTTGAGCTATCATGACCTCGATCCACTCGGACACCAACTTCCTATCTCAACCCCACCTTTTGAGTTTTCCCTCCTTATATATAAATTGGTCAAGCGGGACCACGAAATTAGTGAACTTAAAGGTTTACGTTTTATGAAAATAAACCAAACAATAATATTAAAATATTATAATTGAATTTTTTTTAGTCTATTTAATGTTTGTTATCCTTAACATGTTGTGTGATATTTTGGCCGTTACCAATCATTATTCTCGCTGCTTTGTCTGACATGTGGGCGTAATACTTTCGATATTTCATTAATAGTTGCCACGCCGCGCACATTATAGCAACAGGTAACTCTGTAAAAAACGAGATAATCGTAAAAGACAAACATATAAGTTCATTCCTTCTCGAATGTCAATAATAATAACATTTTGAAAATAGAATTTATTCGAAATTGTTGCTATATAGAAAGGATGGTGGTTGATAATAAAATGGAATGAATATGAATAAAAAATTCTCTTTTGATGTCTAAATATTAATAATTGTGCATGTTTTCAAATGAATATGTTTTCGAACTGTTTTCATAAATTTTTTGAATACCATTTTTGCGTAATAGATATTGTGGTACCGGGAGTGCACATGGGTTGGGTAAGGCTAGAAATAGTTCGGCTAGGTAAGGTTAGGATAGGTTAGGCTATGTTGGGTTGGATTTGGTTATGTTAGTGTTATCTTAAGATTAGGTTAGGGTTTATTTGTGTTTGGTGAGTTGAGGTTTGGCCAGAGTTAAGATTTAAGGTAGAGGCACGTTCGGTTTGGGTAAGAAAGGTTAGAATAAAGATTATGGTTAAGTTATGTTTAGGGTTAAGGATCCACTAGATTTGGTTAGGCGGGTAGGGTTAGGTAGTTACGTTAAAGATCCATGACTCGATGTTTTCCCGAAGGGGAGAAAATGTGTTAGAGAGAATCGCCAGATGTTAACCTTTTGTGTCTTGTTACTCAATTTATGTATTTGTTTTGGTTGGTTTTGAAACTTAAGTTATAACTTAAAACTCACGAATGGAAATGTAATCCCTATTGTTTTATCACCTTTTATTTTTATTGTAAATGTTTAGTAAGTAAAAAAAGAAAATCGTTCGAATAATAAAACCTGTTACATAAGACATGGAGATAACATGAAAACGTGTCGTGGTGGGAGAAACTCGCCAGTTCACTTCCACCTAAATGAACAGTCCGGGCGAGTAACTCTTCAGTGTTTACATTGTGGATTTTACTGGTTCTATACAATTTCAGGTATTATAGTTATTGCGCATACAATGCCCTTATTTTTGGTACACACTTACACAAAACTTAGCTCCTAGCTTTTATCTCATTCTATTACTTTAATATTTATAGAGAACTGAAACTAACTGGCACTGAAAAATGAAAATTGTTAGTGATCAGAAAATATAAAAAAACGAGAACATTTAAAAATATAAAATCTTTGCCACTTGACTAACATTCTAATTCTAAAGCTTACATGAAAGGAAAAAATATTTTGAAAAAAGTTTTCAGAAATGGACAATTCTTGTATACAATTGTCCAACACACCTTGCCAAGGTCTTCAAGCGATTAACCTTGTCTGTTCTACCAACACAACTTGCTGTTACAACCGATGGACCAGGGAACGATACAATTATTGTACGTTAATTTAATAAAACATAGTTTTACAAATCATCGACGATATTCAAAATAAAAGAGAACCGATGATCTCAGTACTGGATGCTACTATGATCTCTGCTACTGGATACTGCTAGAAAAGGCGTAGAATTGTAAAAAACTTTGAAAGATTTAGAATTCTTTCCGACATGCTGGATTCTGGATTGGCAATATATATATGTATATTACGCAGGGCGGGCGACCAAGGGGTTAAATGCCTGGATAGACTCGTACCCCATCTCTAAAGGGTCCGGGACTTGGTCGGTTCACGTGTCCTTCATAAACCTCTTGGACTTGTTCACAAACCCCAAGATTTTGAACCATTTTATTTCGGGGAGTGATTTGGTAATTTCGTCTCCTTCAAAAGTTTCAAATCTATACCTGGCGTACCTATCGCACTCTGGGATGTAGTGCCGTGCCGTTTCTTCTTTTATTTTACAAAAACGGCAGAAGGGGTCTGGAAAAATACCCACTAGGAAGAGGTGTCTTCTCAAAGGGCAATGGCCCGTCAGGATACCCCTCAGCCTCCTAAATCCCTTCCTTGAGTTAGAGAATAGCCATATCGATTCTTTTTGTTTTATCTCCTTCACAAACTCCTTCGATTGCCTATGTCCGGGGGACAGATTGGCAATACTTCCATCTCTCATGTTGAAGACATTAGTGATGAAGAGCTACAACACTGGGCTAGAGACTTTTCCAATTGAACTGAGATTTGACGACATATACATGAATCTTACAACTCATGCGAATGTAATGAATGAAGAAAGTGTTGCAGGACTAAGTGCGGTTTCTGAAAAGAAAATGACGACGTGAATGCAAGTGAAGATGTTTCCGAAGAATTTTATTGGCAAAGCGTGAAAAAAATGTGTACAGCGGTATATATATATATACTGTTTTTTTCTGTTGTTTTTTCTCTCCTTATTTGTTTTTGTCTATTTAAAAAATAAACACTTGAAGGTTTCAGCTATCATATATTTACTTGTAAACAATGCTATAAAATTAAGGATTTAGATAGTGTTATTACCAATTGAAATATTTGTTTTTGAATTGTAGAATTAATTTTTCTGATCTAAAGTTTTGAAGAGTGAATGCTGATGTCAGACGGAAGTTTAATGCTTAGAAAACAAATAAATCAGTAGTATTTAGGTTCAAATTTGAAGAACTCGCAAACGGTTTACTTTTAGTCGATCGTAACAATTTGTGCTTCGTATAGTTCAGAATAAATTTTAAACATAGTTTGACTATTTGTAAGAATAATATTTTACTCATTTAACTTGCTTACTGAATTCTCTTCTCAGGATAAACCGTAAAAGCAAAACTACAATAACTCCATCAATTGAAACAAAAAGATCATTCATCAATTTGTTCAGCAGGTATATTTACATTTCGGATTTTTTTTAACAATGAGGTAGAACATTAGTTTAGAGGGTTATTTGGAATTTATTGTACTGAAAACTGGTTCGGACATATAGAAAATCATTAGCATTATTATTCTCACACTCGGCTCCTCTGATGTTTAATCAGAGATGTTAAAATTAATTTCGGGGATTGCCGTTGTAATCAGTGCTCTGTTATAGCCAAAACTACTAGGAATGGTAATTGCAAACTAGATTGCTGAGTGTAAAGCGGCATTAGGGAAAGCCTCGTCGGACTCATGAATGTTCACGAGTCAAAATAATGGTGAATTTTGCTATTTTACCATTTAAATCACTTGCGGTACAAGCGAACAAAGCGTAAAATACTCGAGGTGGTGACATAGAGGTAAGCTCGTTGAATGAAAACCAAAAAGAAATAATAGATTTAAAAATAAAAAGGTAAAGATTTTTGAAAAGGTACTGGACAGCCTGGTTAAGCCTGACAGCCAATTAATTTAATCGATTAATTTTGAAATATTTAAAGGGTGTATGTACGATTGTATAACTTTCTTACTCGCGAGATGTTAGAATAAACCATATTCATTCACTCTTTCTCTCTCAATCTCTCTCACTCTCTCTGTCTCTGTCTCACTGCTTCCCTCTCTCTCTCTTTCACTCTCTTTTTTCTCTCTCTTATTTTTTCGTTTTCAACCTCTTTCTGTTTTTTCCAGTTATGTTCTACTTACTACACTCTAATCACTCTAAGTCTTTCTGACAATCTTTCCCCAAAACTCACTCACTCTTCGTTTGGCTGTCCGCTTGTTTCTCTCTCTCTTTCTTTCTCTGCTTTGCCTCTCCACTCTCTCTGTTTCACTTTTTCTCTCTCTATCACCCTCTCTGCTATCTCCTTTCTTTCTCTCTCTCTCACTCTCTCTCTTTCTCTATCTATCTATTTCTTCTATTTCTCTTTCTCCCTCTTTCTTACCATCTCTCTCTGTCTCACTGTCTTCTTCTTTCTCTCTTTTAATCTCTCTTATATTTTTTGTTTCCATTGCTTTCTATTGTTTCCAGTTATGTTCTAATTACTGCACTCTAATCACTCTAAGTCTTTCTGACAATCCTTCCCCACAACTCACCCACTCTTCATTTGACTGTCCGCTTGTTGCTCTCTCTCTCTTTCTTTCTCTGTCTTTGCCGCTCCACTCTCTATATTTCACGTTCTCCTCTCTATCACCCTCTTTGCTATCTCCTTTCTCTCTCAATCTCTCTCTCTCTCTTTCACTCTCTCTTTTTCTCTCTCTTATTTTTTCTGTTTCCACCTATTTCTATTTTTTTCAGTTATGATCAAATTATTTTTATATTTTTATTTCCTACCACTCTAATCACTCTACGTCTTTCTGACAATATTTCCCAACAACTCACTCCCTGTTCGTTTAACTGTCCGCTTTTTGTTCTCTCTCTCTCTCTTTCTTTCTCTGTCTTTGCCTCCCCCCCTCACTCTCTTTCACTTTCTCCCTCTCTATCACCCTCTCTACAATCTCCTTTCTCCTGTCACTCTAAGACTTTACTTAGACACTTTCTCCCTCTCTTTCACACTGTTGTCTCTTTCTTTCTCTGTCTTTGCCTCCCCCTCTCTCTCTCTTTCACTTTCTCTCTCTCTCTCTCTCTCTCTCTCTCTCTCTCTTTCTCTCTCTCTCTTTCATTCTCTCTTTTTCTCTCTCTTATTTTTTCTGTTTCCACCTATTTCTATTTTTTCAGTTATGATCAAATTATTTTTATATTTTTATTTCCTACCACTCTAATCACTCTACGTCTTTCTGACAATCTTTCCCAACAACTCACTCCCTGTTCGTTTAACTGTCCGCTTGTTGTCTGTTTCTTTCTCTGTCTTTGCCTCCTCTCTCTCTCTCTCTCTCTCTTTCTCTTTCTCTCTCTCTCTCTCTCTCTCTCTCTCTCTCTCTGTATGTAATATATGTTTATAGTTGGTTTTCTGTAACATTTCAGGAAATGAAGGTGACTCAGGAATGGATCGAGTTGATTTTATCCAAAAACAACCGATGGAGATCCATCGCGAAAGTGGTCGGCTTCCAAATTATCCCTGGTGTGGCCAAAGGCGAAAACTATTCCAGCGATATGTCCCGGCTCTTGGTGGACGTTCTTCTGGATTCGGGCCAACGTGAGAGTATATCGATAATCGTCAAATCCATGCCTTCCACCGAGTTCAGGAGGGCCCGACTCACCGAAATGGGCGTGTTCCTCAGGGAAATCTACGTGAGTTGTCATTTCCACTACTATGAACTGTGCCTAAACACTTTCTTCCGACTAAATTCTCCAGGTGTACCGAGACATCATTCCAAACATGGAAAAGCTGATGGAAGAAGCTGGTGACAAGAGCGAGACCGTTTGGTGCAAATGTATGGACTATACGCCGTATGAAACACTCGTATTAGAAGATCTGTCGGTAAATTTTTATTTCAAAATACAATACAATCGTGCGTTAATTTATTCCATGTTGAACATTTCACAATGTAGATGTTTTCATAAAGGGACTTCTTTGAGATTTTACCTTAAGTTATGTTTTTAATCATCCAACGATGTACCAAAAAACATCCACGTCGTAATTTGTTTCATTGCCTTTGATTTTGCCAATCACTCGGATTTGTTTAGCACTGTATCAAGATAACATCGGTGTTACCAACCATTATCAGATATACAAACGTAATCTGATCAATTCTCTCTCTTCAATCTTAATTAACTGAAAATAAAAATTATACTTACCATTTGAGCTTTGTTAAACTGTATTAGATAATTGACAGTTGCTAATGAAAGCTTTTGACCACCCTTTTCAGAATGGCAATAACACCGTAATCGATAATAACACATTTGTACCTTTCGGAATAGATTTACCTCTGTCTTGTTAAGCTCTACTGTTGATCATATTTACAATTATCACTCCTACATCATGAATTTCATTGTCGGTTAATAGTGTTCGCATTTCTTGATAATAATATATCGTTCAAAATCATTCCTTGTGGCACGTTCCTCATCGCCTTTTTTCAAAAGCTCCAAACTTAATGACGTAGCAGACAAAATTTCGTACGGCGTGTCTTGTACATCATTAACATTACATACATATACATACGTACATATACATATATATATGCATACGTACATATACATACAAATTCGTACATATACATTCACATACATACATGCACATACGTGTACATACACTTACATATATATACATACATATACATACGTATACTACATATACATATATATACTACTCATGCATACATTACATCATTAAGTGAAGCGTGAAACTTAGAAGCAAGATACAAGTTCAAAACGCTGGGAATATTCTACGATTGATCAAGATATGCCTATAGGTGTTTTCCCTAATTTTTGAAAGTTTATTTTATGTCTCGAATGAACAGTAACATTCATTTGCTACTGATCATGATAGTTCATGATGACTAGTTTCTCAGTTTCTTGAAGGTTATTCGTTTGGTCACATATTTGATAATATTCTAGTTGCAATTTGGGCGTTTCCAATCGAAATTGTTTGCTGGCAAATGGAACCCCCCCAGCGGTGGGTTTGCACGGTGCCTCATCTTACTGAAAACCCTCAATGATGGTTTAATATGACGTAAAACCAAATCGCAGATCTCAAACGTAGTTTCAAAATATTTACAAATTTGTATAAATTAGCAAAATACGATGATAAGTGATGATAAATAAACTGAGTATTTTTTCTTGCAAAAGGTGCTATCGCGATCCCTTTACAAAATATTTTCAGCCGAAAAAACAATTAGATGTTTAGTTACTCAAAGATATCTACCGCAAAAAATCCAGTGAATGGAAGTAAATTTAATTGATATGTAAAATCATTTTTACTCTGATAAATCTGTGCAAAATAAATATTTTTCCATTTCTTTGCAAGTCGCTGATCAATAAATTGTTAAATAACTTGATAAAAGAGTCCACATTGTACTTAAAACATTCAATGAGGTTTTTTTTTTTTTTTTCTTGGGTTTGGGGAGTCCCCATTACCCATGACCCTAGTATTGGTGGAATGGTGATACTAGCAGCGCAAAACCGGAACCCGGAAACGAGGAGGAGCGCACCACCCCGGCCCCACGAACGGCACCGAAAGGAGTGGGCAGATGCTTTTTTTTCCCTCACTAGAGGGCACGGACAAAAACCATGTACATTTCTATGAGGTTACCGGTAGAAAATTAAACTGTCGTTAAGCTCGCAAACACTTACATAATGTACATTCTACATCATTTGTACTATCATTATGACGATTTAAAAAAAAAAATTGTGAACGTTTTTTTGTTTAAACCTTAAAACGTTTCCTTGCGAAAACCTGTTGCATCATATCCCGTACCCAGCTATCGTGATATGATTTATGATTCGTAATCTGTTTATTCAAATCTTCATCGAACGAGGTTCACGGATCGAAAACGCATTTCCATTTTCGCGAGATCAAGAATGTTATTTTCTTATCTGCCGTGGGGGAAGATTTTCACTGAAATGTCATTTTCCAGGAACGTGGATATAAATTAGTTGATCGGTTGAAAGGTCTTGATTTCGAACACTCAAAGCTGGCCGTCCTCGCCCTGGCCAAGTTCCACGCCATTTCTGTAGCTCTTCAGGAAAGGGGATTCATTCCGTTGAATATTTTCGAAAAAGGAGTTTATGAAAATGCCAAGGCAGTAGCGGACCAGTTTCAGGAAGACATGCTCCTCCAGTTTATTGAACAATCGAATAAATCCTGGGATGACGAATGGTAATTAAAAACATTTTACTATAAGTTGTACAATAAAATTTTCTTACGCCAAATCAATAAGCTTCCGTGGTTTTATTTATTGTTCACAAGGAAACCGATATTGGCAAAAATTGAACATAAAATGCTCAGAAAAATTGCACGTCTTGTAGATGAGAGCACTTTGATGGACGAGTCAACATTCCGCGTACTTTGTCATAGTGATTTCTGGCACAACAATATGCTATTTAAATATGACGAGGAGGGATGTAAGCCAGTAATTGTAAAGTAGGTAAAGAAAGAAATAGAGGTCAGAGATATGTATAGATTAATTGATAGATGTATAGATAGATATGTGGAGAGAGGGAAAAAGAGTGAGAGTGAGAGAGAGAGAGATTGTGAGAGAGAAAGAGAGCAAGTAAATCATATCGTTATTTTAAAATACCTTAATTAGTTTATTTAAAACAGAATTTCGTTGTTACAGATTTGTTGACTTTCAGCACACAACATACCAGATGCCCGCTCGCGACCTGCAGTTCTTTCTGAATACATCGACCTCACTGACTGTCAGGGAATCCTATCACGAAGAACTGATTCTGTTGTATTACAAAGAACTGATTCAGAAGATGGCCTTGTTCAAATGCAAGAGGGAAGCTCCGAGCGAGAAACAGTTCCTTCGTGACGTGCATCGGTTGGACTTTTATGGGCTCACGACGACCATTACGGCCCTTCCTTTAATGGTCGTTGAAAAGCCTGAAGTGGTGCCGGACTTGGAGGAATTTTGCAAAACTTCAAAGGAGAACAAATGTTTCGACATAGGCTGGGCTTTCAAAAGCAGTGCTTATCAAGAAATTATGAAGATAGTTATCAAAAAGGCAATCGATAAAGGACTTATTTGAATTTATGTTCAGTACGGTTCTACAAAATTGTCAATATTTTTTTATTGTTCATTAAAAATTAAAATTATAATAATAATCACTCGAAAAAATCTAACGTGCTCTATTTTCTTTCTTGATATAACATGAAGGTCGGCATGAAGGACTCAGTAAACTAAAAGGGATGGTACCAAAGTAGTATGTAGATACTTAACTCTTCTTACTTAACTGACAGACATTTTAGAGTCGAACAAGGAGTTCAACATTCAGGTCTAAGAAAAATAAATGCAGGACTACCCCAAGGGAGCATACTAGTTTCAATATTTTACTTGCTGTATAACAGCGATTTTCTGAAAATGATCAATGATCAAATGGTAGCCAAGAATTATGCTTTTAATTACAATTTTAATAATTATGATTTAATTATATTGTCTTGCTCTTAGGATTACATATTTTAAATTTACCTTCACAACACTAGGTTAGTGTGTTAAATTTCGCATGACTTTGTTGAATGGTGTGGAACCGACGAACAAGAGCTGCAACATTTTATGTTTCCCAACTGAACCTTGAAGAGGACTTGGAACGAAACTGGCGCCCTTAATCTCCAAGGCGTGCAACCGCACAATGTCATCACACATAATGCTTAACTGTGAAATTTGGCTTGTACAATCTTTTTCTTAACACTGTTGATTGTAATAATTTCTTACTAGACAGTTTGTGATGTGAGTTGTTTCCAAATTGAAAAGATTTTTTTAAACATGGAAGTTTATTTAATTTTTAATTAGATGTAGTTAAAATTAAATCTTTAAAAAATTTCATTCTTACCTTGAGAATGTTGTGATGTATTTTTACCTAGCATAATAAATAATAACTCGTATTAGATGATATTAACCAAACAATAAATTAGAAAACCCAAAAGGAGGCAAAAATATTTTTGAACAAAATAAATGGGATTCGTTTTAGTCTCCTTTTAAACCCTAAAATATTAATTTTCTTAGGAATAAAAAATATATATTTTTGGTTGTTTCTTCTCGCCATTGTATAGTGTTCCACTTTAAAACATTCATAACACCGCTGATTTTTCATCCGGTATTATAACCAATGTAAAGCTGTACTTATTTTCCTTAGACCAATACTTTGGCTTTATGTCATTATGAGAGAAAAATAAAGGTGAAACAACTAAAATCTCCCCAAACGTTTTATTTTATTTTCCCTTCTGATTTTTTACGGAAGCTAAGTTAGTTCCATTACGTGGAGTCTACATGGTTACAAATGTTTCCTGGTTTCCTGTAAATCCGTGGAATCGTTTTAAAGTTATCACATTTTTTTTAGAACTTAGACAATTGGAAAGTGAAAAAATTAAAAGTTTTTTTCCAATATTTCCGTTCAGGAGTTTATGGGGTGCAGAAAACCTATGAACTTTGTTTCATGGTAAAAACATAACATACTCTGCAAGGTCGCTCCTTAAAAAAATTATAGATTGTATTTCAATAGTCTTTGTTCGCATTGCAGATTTATTCTTTTATTGGCAATGTAGTTTAACATATTTTTTGATGAATAGACAAGTGAAATTCAATTTTTTGCTCCTTCCAAAACCCATGAATTCAAATGTTGCGAAAAATCAAAAAATGTTTTTTCGACAGCTAGATTTTGGTAAAACATACAAAAAATGGTGATAATTTTTTATCAAAAAAAATCACTGGTCTACATGGCAATTCACAGGGCTTAAGAACGATGCAAACTGCACTTAATCATCTCTAAATAAATTATAAATACGCTGAGATATAAAATAAAACGTTTGGAGTGAAATGAAAATGTACTTTGCTCAATAATATAATGAGTTAGAAAAAGGTTAAGTCATAAAATTAAATAAAAGCAGACTACGGTTATGGTTGACATTGTCTGTCAGAAAAACGGTTAAAAAGTTTTATTTATTTATTTATTTTTTTTTTTAATAAACAACATACGAAACTTATTTATACAATATTCTAACAATTTGTGCAGGGCATATCATTAGTAATCTATGGGAAAAAAGATCTGCTAAATATAAATTAAGTGAAATAAAAATATCTTTAATAGTTAAAATAAGAAATCAATTCTTTCCTGAAACTCCAGGCTTCTTAATCAAAGTTTACTAAGTTGAAACACTGAGAATTATTTTGGAATGTTTATTGATTTAAACCTCATTTTTCTCGTTTATAATGGTATTCAATTAAATCCTTATTAACCAAACTTAAAAATCACTCAATTAATTATACACAATTTTTTCGAAATGAAAATATTTCGTCATAGGCGGGATTCGGACCTACCACTGTTTCTAACGGTTGTAATAACTTTAAAAAAATTCAAATAATTGTCTTCTTTGAGATGAAAATTGCGGCATTGATACTAACTTTTTCATCTCAACCCAGACCGTAGATAAAAGTATAATTAATTGAGATAATTAATACCCTCAATTATGACTGTTAAACAATATGGGTTTTATACCTTTGAATTTTGTTAAAACTAGAGGAATGAAAGAACGAGCGTCGGCGAGAAAATAATTGCCTCCCAAGAAGCCAAACCAAAATTGTATATCTGTTAATGCTATGAAATATCATTTTAATCGGTTTAAAGGTTTTGTTAAAACGAATGAGAATTCTTACCAAAAAGAGTTTTGACCTATTTTTTTAAAGCATGTATTGGTTTTCTGTTAATTTTACATGCATATCAGGACTCGTAAAATAAAATACTTTTTTCCACCTCCCCCAGCCACCGTTCCTAAAGAGACCCCCCATATAGGCGGTACCATGACCATTTAATTGTACTTATTAATTTCCAAAATGTGGGAATGTAGATGATCTTAATGCCTTTCCTAGGCCTTGCCTTAAGCAAAAAGGATGGCTCTGGGAATGATGGGATTTTTTAAATTTAATCCATTCAGTATGGCCCCCTTTACTGTTTACTCTTTATAATATGTATGATGTAATGTTTTTTTAAATATTACAATATAGAGTTAGAATATAAATAAAGAGTAAACAGCTCAGAATTTGATATATTAGTATAACAACTAGATAAACAGAGTATAAATAAAATATATGTATGATATATAAATAATAACGTGAAGGTTCAGAGTTGTTCTTCTAACTTTTTTTAGCTTTTACTTTTTAAATTCAGTGACCAGTTACGAGGAACTTCAAAGTTTCCCACCTTCAAGTTCATGGATTCTTAAAGGGGACAATTCAGGAGTCTGTGTGCGGCATTATTCTCTATCCAGCAGTTTGAACATAATGGATAGTTTCAATTAATTATTCTTTCTAAGGTCTTGGTTGAGATAAAAAAGTCAGTGTCACGAGCGGGATTCGAACCCACGAACTTTGGCTAAATACGCCGATATTCTACCGCTATAGTGACTTCGATCCTCTCGGACACCAACTCCCCACCTTAACCTGCAACCGTTCGAATTTTCCCTTTTTTTTCCATTTTCAAATGTCGTGTAATCGGCTGGGATTCTCAGCGACTTATGAATTGACCACGGGGAGCTGTTTCGTGAAGTGATACTTCTTTTACTTTTTAAATATTAATCCATTTACGTTTTCGTCGTCAATTGACCAAGTTGCTTCATTCAATAGATTAATTATTCTTTCTAAGGTCGTAAGTCGCTGAGAATTAAACAACAAAAAAGTTGAGATGGGAATTTGGTGTCCGAGTGGATCGCAGTCACGATTGCTCAAGTGGTTAAAGAAGTGGCGTATTTAGCCAAAGGTCGTGGGTTCGAATCCCGCTCGTGACACTGACTTTTTTAGCTCAATCAAAACGTTAGAAAAAATAATTAATTGATTGAATGATGCAACCTGGTCAATTGACTACGAAAACGTAAATGGATAGTGGACAGTTTTTAATATGAAACCGGTGGAAGACGGAAAAATAGAGCCTGGCTATCTCGTTCAATAATTTATGCCTATTGTTTGCTACAAAAATTCATATTTAGGAGCACAAAACGAAGGGTCGTTTGGTTTTTGTTAGTTTTAATATAATCTTATCTCTTTGAATAAATACTGCTTATTATTTCCTTATTATCCGTAAAGAAACAAATCAACTGATATAATTAAACTAACAATGAGATACATGGACAAATGTAGTAAAAACTATTTTAAAAAATTCAATTATTTTAGTGTATATATTTCCATACGTTCTCAGAAACCTTCGCAACCAATTCTAATATTTTTGGTCCTTGCATAACCAACAAAGGTTTAATTATAACCAACTTTTTAGCTTATTCAAAAACCACTAAACTACAGTAAGAAAAATTAAATCTTCATTGTTGTTTAAAAAGACGCCTGATTTAGAAGAGAACTGGTTTTAAAAAAAGGATGTCATATTTTTGTTCAAAATAAATGATTGTATCCAAAAATTTGTTCATATATTGTTGACATGTATAATTTTTTAAATTTATCAATCAACGAATAACAACAATATTTCAATTACATACTTTCATATTTTCTACTCCATGTTTCCGGTTTTTTCATGATTACGTTTAAACCGTGAGATATTTGATCTGAAAAATTGAAATGGAAAATGATTTATTCATTACATAAAAAAATGTTGAATTATAAAATTTTTATTAAAAAATTAACATCCCTTAAATAATTCATTGGCTAACGTAGTTTGTTTGATTAATATAGGTATATATAAATTATGTATTAAACAATGATGCTTACAATTTATTCAACTCGCCCATAGTTGAGACTCATAGAATAAATTTTTGATATATCTTGCACCAATGGAAAATCAAAGTTTAAATCTGACGGATTATATTTTATATTAACCAAATATGCAACTGAAAATCCATTCATCTTTTGTTTGCGATCCTATTGAATTTATTATCCATTCATTTTGGAGATCAAATAAATTAGTTCATTGGGTCTAAATTTACCAACTAGTTATATCCAAGATAATTTTTAAAATATTGACTTGGAGCCACCGATGTTATTCCAAATAAAAAAGGTTTCTTTTCATTATATCAAACGTTCTTCAAGTATGCTCAGGTTTATTTAAATTGCCCGTCTGAAACATGAAACGAAAAATGAATTATTCATGTCATAAAGTACGATATGACTTAAGATTTGTACAGGATTTTACCCGTATAAAATCCTTCGTCTTTAACCAATTTATGGACTCTGACGATAATCGTATATAAAACTGTATAGTATTATTTAACTGTTGTAACGCAACTACTTTCTTATAATTGGATAAATTTTTTCTAATTAAAAAGAAAAGTTGAATGAATGTTTACTGCATCCTATTTATTAGTTTAAAAAAAATTATGTTAATAAAACAGTTAAATGTTAGAATTTAGAGGATTTTTGTAATTAAACAAATTAACAAAAGCTTGACTATAAACAAAATAAGCCATATATAAAACAAATACGATATGACATAGCTCTGAATTGTTTTGCATAATTTATCCCAGAAAGAAAACTAACACATTTGTACAACTTTTACACTTGTAGAAACTTAATTTAACTTTTATGTTTGTAGAACAAAAAACAGCATTCCAGCTTCTCGATCTGTTCCAAATTTTAAGATAAGGCGATATCCGATAATGCTAGCCTCTCATTTGAACCCCAGATTGTCAACTATAGAATAGACGCTAGAAATACTCTACATATGTATACATGACCACCCTATACAAAATTAAGGGATCAAGATGGGATATAATCCCACCCGAAAGTTATCGATATTTCTCGGGACGGTTTGGACCCGCTCCATTCTCGCTGATAAATTAATTTCCTCTCCAGACATCACACCCCAGAGTACTCGGTATTCCCTGGGGGGGGGGGTAAACAACTCCTTCTTTTAACGCTAATAAATTACAATCATTCCAATAAATTAACATAAATTTAAATAAGACACGAAACAACATAAACATAATACCGCTCGTGACACTGACTTATTTTTATCTCAACCAAGACCTTAGAAAGAATAATTAATTGATTGAAAGATGTAACTTGGTCAATGGACTACGAAAACGTAAATGGATTAATATTTAAAAAGTGAAAGAAGTATCATTTCACGAAACAGTTCCCGTAGCAATTTCATAAGTCGCTGAGAATCCAAGCCGATTACACGACTTAAAAAAATGGCAAAAAGAGGGAAAATTCGAACGGTTGCAGGTTGAGATGGAGAGTTGGTCTCCGAGAGGATCGA